ACTCAGCTCTGAGTCAACATGGTGTTACAGATCAGTGCAGGAGGAGGCAGAAAGCTGCTCTCCGATTGGCTGTCTGACCTCACTTCAGTGGTTCTTGATTTTATTGCTCTGAACCGTCCACCTGATGGCAGCAGTTCAAAGAGTGAACGTCCTGGGTGTGAGGTGTCCTTAATAATGTGTAGTTCTATCATAGTGAGGAGAGGGCAGTCGACGATCTCCTGGGCCATGTTAATGACCCTCTGGAGTGTTTTCCTCAGAGCCACTGTGCTGCTGCTGTACCATACACATATACAGTATGTGGAGCACCAATAGAAGGACACCAGCAGTCTCTGGGAGATGTTGTTCTTCCTGAGCACCCATAGGAAGTACAGTCTAGGCTGGGCCTTTTTAAGCAGTTTAGAGGTATTCACGCCCCAGGTCAGATCCTCCCAGAAAGCAGAAGGCCGGCACCCTCTCCACACGGTCCCTGCTGATATACAGTAGCAAGATGTCGGTTTTCTTCCTCCTAAAGTCGACATTGACCTCCTTAGTCTTTGAGGTATTAAGGAGCAGGTTGTTCTCTCTGCACCACACTATCAGTCACTCCACCTCATCTCTGTAGGTAGTCTCATCCCCCCCAGAGATGAGCCCCACCACCATAGTGTCCTCAGCAAATTTTACAGTGGTGTTGCCGTGGTGGGCGGGGGTGCAGTAATAGATATTTTTACAGGCCACTGTATTCTTGTTTGAAATGTGACAGTGGGTGCTGCAGCACCTGTTGTGTCCATAAATATTCTCATTAACAAACTGCCGACACAATCATCTGCAGTTCCTATAAAAATTTTTAATGAATATTCTGTGAATAATTTATTCAACTGTTGTTTTGAGTTAAGAGAAGAGAAAGTACATGATCAGCACCTGCTTCATTTACCACCCGTCTGTCAGGTCTGGTGTCGAGCTCTAAGTCCAGTCTGTCCTACCTGGTCAGTCGTCCCGAAGGAGGTAATGTGGCTGTCCTTGCAGTGGGCGGAGCTCCAGAGGCTCTGGAAGCGCGGCCAGGTGCTTTAACACTGCAGGTACATTTCATCCAACTCATGGTGCAGTTTCAGACGGGCGTGTCCTCGCCAGGTCCTGTGTTGGGTTCAACATGGGCCATTTGGCCCGACACAAACCGTTCTTAATCAGACGGTACCGTTTTAGTCAGGATTTATTATTATTTATTCATTTATTGAGGTGGACTGTTGATGACAAAGGGCAGACAAAGAGGAACCCCTACCACCAACGGTCCGTGCACTGACCTGAAGTTTTTATACAATGTGGGAAATAAAAAGCACCATTTTGAGCCATTTGAAAAGCATACCTGGCTCTTAAACTGGCTCTCAGACTTTCCCAGTCTGTCTTCTTTCTATGAGCCTTAAAAACAAAGGATCCAAAGCTTATTAGTACAATTTTTCTTAATAGCTGGGGCCAAATTATCAGTTTAGCAGAATTTACAGTGTATATAGGCCACGGTCATTTCAGAAAGGTCCCCACCCCTACGTTCTCTGCACATTTACTACTATAAATTCATATTGAAACTGAAAAAAAAACATGTGGAACATGCCAGGAGTGAAGGGGTGGGAATCCTCTGTATCAGAAACACACACATTCATCATGTAAACAGTTATTAATAAATGCAGATGGTCCAGACGTCTCTCGTGTTGTGAAGCTGTACTGTCCTGCTCCGGTTTGTCTGTTGGATGTACGAGCACACGGCTGTGCACAGGATCACTAGTTAGACATTTATCAGATACTACAAGCTGAGCCGTCGTATCAAAGCAATGAACATGCAGCTATGGTAACATTAAGTATTTAAATGGGATACTTCTGCATTTTGTGCAGTAACCCCTTATGAAAATGTGAGAATATATGTGCAGTAACCCCTCACTACCTCACCAAGCGTAATGCCATATTCAACTCCACCATGTAAATTACTAAGTGTGAATGTTTTACGTTCACTGTGGGAAATACTATTACTCTATTTTTGTGTATTGTGTTTTAATACTTTGTCGCCTTTTGTAACTTTTTAATTTTAAGACCAAGTGTTCTTTCTGGATTTTGACTTTACCTAACTCCAAAGGAGAACTGCAGAAGAATTCCTATATGCCTAGACTTGTCTGTTTATGCATAAATGGCAAATAAAAATCTTGACAAGACTTGGCCTGTCAGTGTGTGGGGTATATTAGGCAGCAAGTGAACATTCAGTCCTCAAAGTTGATGTGTTGGATGCAGGAAAAATGGGCAAGTGTAAGGATGTGAGTGACTTTGCCAAGGACCAAACTGTCATGGTGAGATGACTGGGTCAGAGCGTCTCCCACACTGCAGGTCGTGGTGGGTCTTCTTAGTCTGCAGTGGTTAGTACCTACCAACAGTGGTCTAAGGAAGGACAAATGGTGAACTGGTGACAGGGTCATGGACACCCACAGCTCACTGCTGATGAGGTTGACCTACTGTAGATTAAACTTTTAACTAACATTTGTACTTTTCAAAAGATTAAAATTTATTTGAATCTTTGTTAAAATGGTTGAAAATGATAATGTACATTGGTCTCTATGAAGAGAGAGTCGGGGGCTGTAGTGGTGATATCACACCTAGAATGGTGAGGCTGCTGAATTTGTCTAAAACATTCTCTCTAACTTGTCCTCACGACCACAGTTTTCACTCCTTTTACATCAGCTTTTCACTGAATTGTAAACACATCTTGTGCTCTTCCTGACAGTAGCACTGTGGAAGCAAATGGATTCACAGAAGATGCACAGTGAGCTGCAGAGTGATGTGAGGTGGTCATAATGTTATGCCAGTGTATGTATAGTCTAGTCACTGACCAGAAGAACGTGCACTGATACTGGATGACTGAATCCAGCTGCTCTGATCCACAACACAGGTGGGGGTTGAAGAACCAAAACATCTGGCCGACCTTAGCTGACATTAGGAAATCCATTGCTCATTTGATCTGGGATTGGTATAGTCACATTTGTGCGGTAGAACCGTGTTATCGTCTCACTTCACTGATTGAAAACAATGATTTAAATAAAAGACTGTTGTTCAGCTGTGCTGCTGATCTCTTAAATCGTGTTTAAAAAAACACTTATTAAAGAGTTGTTTTTTTTTTTTGTAGACTTTACAGTTTCAGTAATGTGGTTTGTGTGTTGTTGTGCTTCGTGCTATATAAATAGGTTGTTTGTTTAAAAACATTGATACGGGTATCAATAAAACAAAAATACCAGTGAATTTCATGTCCTTTCCTGTTTTGTTTGTTCCAGGTGCGAAACAGGAAGGGGTTCATCAAATTGGCTCTCAAGCACGGGTGGGTGGAGATTCTCATGTGGGCGGGGCTCTGGGAGCGATTTTAAACGGAATGTGTGTTTATGTTGTGTTGTGCTATGTGTGTGCAGAGCTCAGCTGGTTCCGGTCTTTTCTTTTGGAGAGAACGAGTTGTTTGACCAGATGGAGAATCCCACCGGCTCTCCTCTCAGGATGCTGCAGGTCCGAGCTCACGCTAATCACATCTAACTTTAATATAATGAACATGCTGTATTAGCAGGTCAAAGAGTCAAACAACGGGCCAGGACATCCACCTACAGCCAGCGTGTAACACCTGAAACATTATTTATGCTATATTTCCACTATTGGAACCTAATGACTGGTACACCCCGTACTTCCCTTAACCATCACCGAGTGTAGCCTCCAGGGTAAACACGACCATCCTGCTTTGTTTTTCCACTGTATTTTCTCTCTGTCTCTGTTTAGTGGAGGGTGGGGCTGCTCCTCACAGGAAAAGACAGCTGAGCAGATGGAGGGTGACACCATAGTGCAACAGCCAGTAAGGGGGAGACTATGATCAGTTTATCAAACAGCTGTTGGACAAGCAGAACACAGACTAACTAGCTCTAACCCTAACCAACAAGTGAAGTCCTCCTTTAACCTCCAACCTTATGTGCCCCCTCATGTTCCTGGTACTTAATCTTTGCACTACTTCCTGAGGGGTGCTGAAATTTAGTTCCTGGAGCGCATCTCCGCAGCAGGCGGAGGGCAGTGCAGACAAATGCAGAATCCGTGATGAGTGTTACTTGGCAAGACATGTTTTGGTGGGTTCCTATAATGGAAAAACTGCAGTAGTGACCAGTTAGTGGTACTCTTACTGCAACATAGGAAACAAACTAGCAAATGTGCAATTCGCTGTAGCAACCACTTAGAACACTGTTGAGCATCTTAGCAACAGATTAGCGATCACATCTTCTTAGCAGCTGCCTAGCAACCATGAAGTAGCAACATTTCAGAAACAAGCTAGTAGCCAGATGACGGTAGCCTAATGTGTTGTCTGTCTCCACAGAACCGGCTGCAGAGCATCATGGGAATATCGCTACCACTGTTTTATGCCAGAGGAGTTTTCCAGTACAGTTTTGGCCTGATACCATACAGGAAGCCCATACACACCGTCGGTACGACTGCAATGTTCAACTTCTGATGTGTATATAATATTAATCCACTGCTCATCTTTACCTGTTAATGTTCAGTTTAACATTTGTCTGACTTGCATGTAATGTTGATCTAATATTTGATTTATCTGGCATTTATCTAATGCTTGTCCAGAGTTAATCTGGCATTAAATCAGAGTCAGGAGAGGATGGATCAGCTTCAGTGTGTTTTCACAGGTGTCCGTCACTTAGCAGAGCTCAGAGCTAGAACTAGAGTTGCTTGTCATGTTTTATTGTTCCCACATCTATCTCTGTGTTTCAGTGGGGAAGCCAATCTCGGTTGTACAGACTCCCAGTCCGACCAGTGAGGACATCAACAGTCTTCACAAAGATTACCTGCAGAGTCTGATGGACCTGTTTGAGCAGCACAAACGCACCTATGGCCTCAGTGAGGACCAGCACCTCACCTTCACATGATCTCACACATATCACCTTTCTGTAAGCATCTGTCACATGACTGTCAGCTGATCCAGCTGTGGATGTTAAACTGTTGGTGTCAGCAGTCTGCCTTTCTATCAGACAGCACCATGCTAACTGTGCTAGCAGGGCTCATTGAACAGGAAAAGCTAATACTGGTGCAGATCTCACAGATTTAAATGGTGAATGCTAAATGAGGTTTCCTGGTACGTGTAGGAGCTTTGTTTTTGTTGAGTGTTTGTTGTGTTCCTGTTTCCAGATGATGTTGTAACAGCTGACAGGGGACATGGAACAGTCTGATTGGTTGGTTTGTGTGTGAAAGTCATGTGACAGTTTGTTTATTAAATCATTGATATTCAGAGTAAACATGTTAATGAGTCTGTCCTGCAGTTACACGAAAACTCAAGTATTCACAACAGATTCTTGACTCCACAACAAACGAACAGAAACTGTCTAATTCTGCTGACCTTGTCAGAAACATCTGGAAGACAAGTGTCTCCTACACATCTGGATAAATATCTTCAAACTGAGACATTTCCAGTTAGGAAGGGAAAGAATCTTTGTCTGATCTGACTCAATAATCAGCCTTTATAGTTAAATGTTTACACCCAGAATGATCTACAGCAGGGGTCACCAACATGTTCGCCACCAAGGACCACGAGTCGTCCGCGGGCCTTTTCTAAAAAATAGCTCATCATAGCGCCACTTACCAGTGAGATGCATAAACTGTTTTGTTGCTATCCTTTTTTAAAATCACACTTGCACTGGTGTAAATTAGAAAATGACAATATAAAAAAACTTTAAACAATGTTTCATATTAGATCCTGAAGGATTAGAACATGTAGTGCCAGCTAGCGGGCGAGGCGAAGATGATTAAGAACAAAAAGGCTTTTCAGACGGGGAGGTTTTCAAATGATGATGATTGTAAAAACTGCTTAAAGACGAGAAATATGGAACCGATGTAATCTCCACTCTCTCCGATGTCCAACTGGGGGCAACTATGGTTAGAAGGGTGTGGGCTATGTCCGGGAACGTGGCCGATCAGCTGGACCGGGATCTGGCGAAGTGCAGGAGGTTTAGCATCCAGTGTGACGAGTCCATGGACAGCAGCAGTACAGCGCAGCTGATGGTCTTTATCCGGATGGGGTTTGATGATTTCTCCACAAAACAAGACCTTCTGACACTACTGCCCCTAGAGACAACTACGGGGGCAGTTGACATCTATAACGACGTGAAGGAGTTTTTCGCGGAGAAAAAGGTACCTTCGGAAAAGCTGGTATCAGTGACTACAGACGGGGCTCCTGCTATGATCAACCGACATACAGGATTCATCGCTCACTGTAAAGGTGATACAGAGTTGCCAAACTTTATGCCATTACCACTGCATCATTCACCAGCAAGCATTATGTGCAAAGGTGATCGGCTTTGGGCATCTGATCTCTCCTGTCCTGAAGTTTATAAACGGCATCCGCTCCAGAGCTAAATAGCACAGAACATTCAAGGTGCTATTGGAGGAGCTGTCAGATGAATATGGTATGAAACCTTTGGTACCTTGTTGACACAGAAAAGTACAGTGGTGTATGCACAGCAGCTATGAAGGTTGCCAGCCTGTTTGGTTTAACCTGTCTTTGTGAATCAGCCTTTTCTGACATGAACGTCATCAAGAACAAACACAGAACATGCATCACTGATGCATATCTGCACGACTCAGAGTTGCAGTGTTGAGTTACACCCCAGATTACAATACACTGGTGACCGCGCATGCGCAACATCGCATAAGCTCAGTATTACTGACAAAGCGGTCAGAGGTGTCAGAGGTATTGTCAGCAATCTCCATACAGAGCTGTCAGTCTTGTCTGTGATGATGTCAGGGAAACACACTGGGTGAAAACTTTTTACATTTAGAAACTCTGAGCAGCCAGTGACATTAGATATAGTTGATTTAAATAGGTCGCAATTTAAATCTTGCATCACAGACATCTTTGAAGCTGCATTCACCGATAACAGAAGCCAGTAAAAGTTCCAAATATGTTCATGTATAGTAGGTGAATGGCACAGTGGTTGATGCCACTGACTGTAGTAGGGCAGGTCAGGGTTCGTGGCCAGTCGTGGGGTCCTTCAGCAAGGCCCTTAATGCTATGTGCTGAGCAAGGTACACCACAAACCCCTGGAGTTTGTTTTTGTGACACGACCGCTTTGTTGGCTACAGAGATTAGTTAATTTTCAACCGCCCTTACAGTTTTTTTTTACTCTTACTGTAACATGATGCATTTATTTTTATTATAAAATAGCTTTTTACTTCCTACAGACTATAATTTTGTGAATATCTGCCAATATGGTTCTTTACCATAACACTGAACATTTTAATAAAGAGTTGGTCAATTCTTTAAAATTCATCAGGGAAAATCTTTCTTTCTTACTTATGTACTTACTTTTATTTATTTTTTCTTTGTATTAACAAATATAAACATTTGAATAAACATCAGCTAACCCTGCAGTGTAGAAAACAAATGTATAAATTCATGCATGCATACGATATTACTTATAATATGACCTTGGCTGCATTACAGTTCTTATTCGAAACGTGATCCATATGTGCATAAGTAGATGGAGAATCAGAATCAGAATCTGCTTTATTGGCCATGTGTGTCGGCCACAAAAGGAATTTGACTCTGCTCAGCTCTCAGTGTGTATGTACATATCCCCATGCAAGGGGCAAGTAAACAGTAAACCAACATAAGGCTGTGTAATATAATAATATAACAAAATAAGCAGTATTAACAGCAACAAACAGTGCAAACAATGCAGAATAAGCAGTTTAAACAGAGTAAACAATGCAGACAGACAAAGGAATGTTCATTGAAATGAAATAAATAGGAATAAAAATAGAGTACTTAAAAACAGAGACCTGTACGAGTCTGTCTAATCTGTACAATGTATATATACACAGGTATTGCACTGAGGGTTATTGTCCAGTGTCGTTGGTTAAGTGTTCATCAGAGTGACGGCCTGGGGGAAGAAACTGTCCCTGTGCCTGGTTGTCTTAGTGCACAGTGACCTGTAGCGCCATCAAGAGGGGAGGAGTTCAAACAGATTGTATCCGTGGTGTGAGGGATCAGCAGTGATCCTCTCCACCCTCCTTTTGACCTGTGAGGTGTACAGGTCCTCTATGGAGGGCAGGCTCACACCAATGACCTTTTCTGCAGTCCTCACTGTCCGCTGAAGTCTGTACTTGTCCTGTTTGGTTGCTGAGCCAAACCAGACAGTGATGGAGGTGCAGAGAACAGACTATGATTCCTCTGCAGAACATGTAACATTTTAATTACATTCTGCTGAAGTGAACGAAATGACTCGAAAAAGATTCGTTCATTTTGCTGAACGAGATAACCCAGGAGGCAACGCTTTAAGTGAATTTTGTTACGTCACCGATGCTAACTAGTAGCTAGCATTAGCATGTTTTTGTGTGATTATGTTGTTAAACCAACTCACTTACCTTGTCCATCACGGTCGAAATCAGCTGCTTCCGCAAACACCTCGCCGGCTGTAGCTTCCAGGGAAAATTCTGCAACACACAGTTTAAACACTCTTTAAATTTGTGTTTGTGTTAGTTGTTTAAGCTGTCGCTGTTTAAAATGTAATCATGAATATATTTTGATGTGTAACAGAGAAGCTTTTCAACTAAGGGAATTATTTTTTTTAACAATAACAGAGGGAATTGTATACCACAAAATGACAATTAAATCTATGTTGATTAATTCCAGTCTTCAAATTCCTCTCCTAAATGTATGCCTATATTCTTCTATTGTTTCTTCTTCTTCTTCTTTTATTGTTTAATTGTAGTTCATCTTCTTCTTCGGGGCGGGTGGCAAACGTTCTTAGGTGCATTACCATCAAACTTTCCTAGCTGCACAAACCTGATGTAAAGTACTCGTTTCAGGCTGATGAAAACAACGTGTTCATGAGCAGGTGTGTGACAAGTGATCTCTGACATGGTAAACGCACCAGAAGATGCCATAGCCTACCTGTTCTGCTTAGTTTGTGGGAAAGTCTCATCCAGAACATGTTATGCAAGAGTAAAAGAAAAGTCTTCTGTCAGACATCAGCAAACCAACACAACACGACACATTTAACAGTCAGTAGCCGTACATGAGACAAGGTAAAATGTTAATAGTAGCCTACATTTATCAGTGGTGTGCCACTTAAGTGGTGGAAAGAAACCAGGTGTATGCCTTTTTGTGGCATAGGACTGTCAATGCACTGTGGTTGGAGGATTCACACAAACTTCATCACAACTCTAACAAAAAAATTAGGCCAACTAGAAATTTTAAGCAGATCAAGAGGAATTTACTAAAAAGAAGACATATAATTGTATCTACAGTATCATTACATATTTGGGAAATGTTATTTATTTGTGCCACATTACATGATGATATACAATCCTACTAAATGGCTACTTTACATTTCTACATGCACGTGTATGCTATATATTTGAGAAAAGAAGACTACTGTATATGCTCTCCTTTTAATTTCTTGTATTTTTAAAATTTCCATTCTCCCCCATCATCTCCTCTGTCTGTCAAACACTTCTTCCTTTATCCCTTCCTCTCAGTGTTCATGTCCTGCATTGGTCTCATATCCCAAAGTGTCTCCCAGGGGCTGGTGGGCGAAGAAGACCCGGGCCATCTCATGGATATGGTTGTAGGCGCCGATTGATCTGAAGTATTCGACGTAGTTCCAGAAGTCAGAGGTGGAGTAGGGCCAGTAGGGGACAGCTGGTGGTTCATCGTAAGGTACTAAAACACACACGGCAGGTTAGGGAAGAACACACTAAAGGATCTAGCAGATTCCATATGTGAAAAGTTGAACATGTTTTTCCATTCAGGATGAAGTGAACCACATCTATAGGTTCAAAATATGCAACACGTGCTGTGACTATAAAACACACTTGTCTATTGTGGCTTCTGAACACGAAAGATCTTTGGGATCCTCGTATACTGAGGCCAGTGCAGCAGGTGTTTTGAACCACTTCAGTTGTAGCTGCAGTGAAACACTATAATAAAAATCATCAGTAGAAAATGTGCATTGAAGCTACATAGATTTTACAACATCACACTGTGTAAAGGCAAAATATTTAAATTTAAATTTAAATATAGTACCTCCTTCTGGGATGACTCTGGCCTCTGTGAGGAGGAGGAGAGAGGGGAAAAGGAAAAATTAACATTCCCAAGCATTTCAGGGCTTTCCATTTACAAAGACAGGATTCAGGTCTGGAAGAGTGAAACTGCAGGATACTTGCTCCTTCCTCAAATATTATTCCAGACCATTTGGGACCAACACATACTGAAGTATGAGGAATTCATTATCAGACAGAGTCTTCTTTGTACATATGAAGTCATCAAAAAACAAGTGCTTTCCTTTTGTGAGAATCATACATGATTCACAGCTGTTTTTATATTCATGTACCAAACTTGGTCTTGTAACTTTCATTGTATAAATAAACAAACCTTCAGGTACAACATGCTAACTGATCCCTTTAAGAAAGTACAAATTATTTACAGATAAAAAAAAGCAGAGATGCTCACCAGTGAGATGACATGCGACGAGGCAGAGAAGACAAAGCCAGAGCAAACTGTTCATCTTGTCCTCCTAAACAAAAATGTCCATGATACTAGGTTTTTAGTCTATACAACAGCATAAAAACATCCTCACTCTAAATCACAAACTGAAGTGAATGCATGTCTGTGCCAACATGCAAAAGCAACTGTTCTTACCTGTGCTGTTGAGCTTTTCATGAACCTGAGACTAAAATGAAATTCTGCACAGGTTTATGAAGCTGTGCATTGAGAAGCTGCCTTTCGTCTGCTGGTTCACGGTGGTCTGTGGGGCCGAGCAGAGGAAGAGCCAGTGGACACACACACAGCCAAGCCTTGCCCACATTATACTGCATTTATTTGGAGACATTAGTATACAGGTGCATCTCAATAAATTAGAATATTGTGGAAAAGTCCATTTATTTCAGTAATTCAACTCAAATAGTGAAACTCGTGTATTATATAAATTCAGTACACACAGACTGATGTAGTTTAAGCCGTTGGGTCTTTTAATTGTGATGATTTTGCTCACATTTAACAAAAACACACCAAATCACTATCTCAATAAATTAGAAAATGGTGACATGCCACTCACCTAGTCAACTCAAACCACCTGCAAAGGTGTCCTGAGCCTTCAAAATGGTCACTCAGTTTGGTTCACTAGGCTACACAATCATGGGGAAGACTGCTGATCTGACAGTTGTCCAGAAGACAGTCATTGACACCCTTCACAAGGAGGGTAAGCCACAAACATTCATTGCCAAAGAAACTGGCTGTTCACAGAGTGCTGTATCCAAGCATGTTAACAGAAAGTTGAGTGGTAGGAAAAAGATGCACAACCAACCGAGAGAACCGCAGCCTTGAGAGGCTTGTCAAG